ATGCTATAGCAAAATCATGAAGATGGATGACAAGTGAATGAAATTTGAGAAACACTGGACTGGCTGGTGGTTCTATGTTTCAGAAAAAATTCCCAGGACCATCTTTGTGACCCAACATATTAGCATCCCCTCCTTAGGCAACACTTTACATGCCACACATAATAGGCCACAGACCTGCCTGTGGTTGGTTGGCCTTGGATGCACTGTCCATCCTTAGTCAAATTAGTGGTCAGAGGAGTGGTCACATGCTATGAGATATGGCTACCCAAGTTCTGACTCTAGCAGGGACTGAGACAAAGTTTCTGGTGGAGCAGCTTGTGTGGGCAGGTGCGGTGTGATGTGTTTTTATGGGCTCCTGGTTCAATTGTAACTCTTGGGCACTGTCTCTATCCTGGAGTTTCTGAGGTGGGCATGCGGCTTCCATCCCCCCATAAACTCTGCTTTGAAGGGTGACTTTGAGAATGTAATGTGATCATTGATACAAAAGTGCTTTGAAAATCATAACCACCTCACAAATGCAAGATGTTATTATCACTGCTTAACACACTTATTGCTATGAGTGGCACAGAGAGAGGAATGGGAACCCAGATTCCAAAGATAGCTCATTTTCCTCAAGAAAAGAAAAAGATTGAAGTTACACCAACGACCAGTTGTCTGAACTCAGACTAGTTAGCCACTACTTGGCTGGGTGACCTTGGCCGAGTCCCTGCCTCAGTTTCCTAATATCTGAAATGGGAACATTTGCATCTGTTCTTCCTTGTCTCAGATTGGAGTGAGGAGCAGAAGCCCACCCTCCACTCTCTGTCCCCAGACACCAGGTGAGGACAGTGGGCAAGTTCTTGCATGTCTCCTGTCGCAGTCCTTTCATGGGTAGAGATGACAGACTTGAATTAGGTGATCCTTATCATCCCCCATCCTTTCCAGCTTCTAAGCTGCTCTGCTTGATTCCAACCACCCCTCTTCTCTGGGTCTAGCCTCCAACCACCACCCTGGTCTTGAGAAGCCCTCCCCTTAAAAATCCCACAAAACAGAGAAGGACCTCAGGCGCCGCTGTTTTGAAAGTTACGTGTTTGTGAAATGTTGCATTCACGTCAGGCTTTTGAAATAAAAATTCTCTATTCCCTTTACCCTAGCTTATCTGTTTAGAGATGTTTGCTTTTTACTTGTTATTGATCGTCAATTGGCTACAGTTACTCACTCTTTGATCTTCTCTTTTGTTTGAACTTGAAGCCACCCACACTGTCTGCCTGGGCCCCCTAGTCTCTTTATTAAACAGTAATGATATATAAACAAACTCCTAGCCCCTCAGGGAACCAAGGGGCTCTAGGGCCAGCCTCCCTCGGGCCTGTGAATTGTCATTCCTGAAGCTGTCTGTTTTTGAAGTTCTTTTGCCAAGTTTCTATGGGAGCAGAGGGATCACTTTCTCCCTTTTCAAAGAGCAGGGTGAGCTGAGGCCTCGAGCTGGCAAGTCCTTTAAAGTCACTTTCAAAGGAAACCTGAGCTGGAAGGCCATGTGGCTGGCAGAGGGGAGTGTGACTTTCAGAGGCTCTCTCTCAGGCTTTGGGTGGTCAGCTCCCGGGAGCTTCCCAGCACGTGCTCAGGGCCTGCTGCAAAGGCGCTGCCAGGACACACCATCCTGCCACCAGCCACACAAGGACTCAGGAAAGGCTCTGGTTCATGTCCCTGCCCCGCGGTCAGGGGAGTGTACAGGTATTCTCCTCTGGGCCAGGGGCCAGGACCATGCTTGTCCTCCCTGTTCTTTGGCCTTGTCAATGAAACTTGGCATTTTTTTTAGGTAAATTAAAACTAGGTGCCAAAGTAAGCTAGGATGAATTTATGTCTGAATCATGACATCATAAGTGATCTAGATAATCCAATCCGCTCATGGGCAGGCTGGAAGGGGGACCCAGACAATGATTGTCCCCCACACATGGGAGGAGATGGCTGACCTTCACCACAGAGTTCTTCAGACAAGGACCACTCCTGCAGTGATGGAGGTTTGCTTGGCTAGCAGCCATTCATAAAGGTTCCAAGTCTATAGATGTTTGCCCACCGCTCAGCAGATACCAGAAAGACACCGATGCTGAGAGGTGTCTGACTGGGGCCAGAGGCCTTCATACCATCCTCTGGTCTAGACCCAAGCAGAGTTGTTTATGAAGCCAGGAGGCAAGATGAACCCTCTTGCATCCCAGAATGGGCAAATTCTCCAAAGCCCAGAGGAGGAATCAACTCACATACACTTGTGTCAAAAGGACTAGAACTAAAGTCATCAAAGCTCAGCCTAGAACACTGAGTGAAAAACAAACAACAAAAAAACACAGAGGAGGGAACCAGCCAGAAAAAGAGGTGAGAGATCCATCCAAAATCCCCCACCGAAGCTCACAACCAGGGTCTGGAGTCTGTGATCCTTCCTGGGCTGGGAGATAGAGCCCCAGCTTTGGTTCCTACATCCCCCCCCCCGTGCCCCCGCCAGTGATCACTCCCCACTATGTAAGAGCAGAGGAAACCAGACCCATTTAAGTCCCGATTCCAACACAAAGAAAGACCCCTGAACAAGGCATCTCAACTTTTCAACATTTTATTCTTGTATTTGTACAGCTATATGTTACATCGCGGTAATGCAGTTTAGACACAGCCAAACCCTGTCTCCGGAGCAGTTCTAACACAAGCACGACGCAGAATGTGATGGATGAGACAAACATTCCCAAAGAGGCTGTTAGTGACAACTTCCAGTCCCTGTGTCTGCCTACACTTCAGAAAGGGATGGAGCGCTCGCCCATCCATCGTTGAAAACTTCCATGAAAAAGGCACCGTAGGACACGTTGTATAGGTATATACAAACTGGAAACTAGAACAAAACTACACATTTTTCCTTCCGCAGCTTTTTTTGTTCTTTTTGTTTTTTTTAATACACACTTGTAAATTGTAAACCTTCACTTGCAAAAAAATACAAATACACTGAGGCATTTTAGACAAAAATATTTTCTTACTTAAACAGATGCAATACTTAAAATATTCTCTTAAGTGCTCTTTCTCAATAAAGATTCTCAGATCCGTGTCTGCCTGCAGATACAAAATCGAGCCTTTAACACAATGTCATATTTTTAATATATCTTTTTTAGGTTTATATATATATATTTATTTTATATATATATTTATATATTTACAACTCTGCCATATATTCCTTCACCTTTGGTTAAAAAAATTAAAGCCCTCTGTTTGATAACATACCGAAGTCTCTTCTTTTAAAAGAAAGCACATTTACATACAAAAGAAACATCTGTTCCCACAAAACATATACATTCCTCATTTTGCAGACTAAGTCAAGTCAGAGCTTTTGCATACTCTCCCACTTTGATGTACAAAATGATTCTGCTTTTTGCTGACATGGTTCGCCTTGCACATAGGAGAAGAAGCAATATTATTTTCTTAATGTTGGATGGCAGTGGGGGAAGGGGAGCTGCCTTGGCTCCCGGTCCCCACGCCCCTCCCCCCACCCCCCATACCCAGCTATGATTTGCACTAGTTGATGAAAGAGGCACTACATCATGGGATGAATGCTGTAAAGTGTTACAGTATCCTTTGGGTAGATTCTGAGAAGGGGCTCGAGTGGAAAGCGTCAACACTCCATGCTTCAGCAGGCCTTGGGCAGCTCCGGGGGCAGGTCGGTGGCGGACACGCGGTATTGCACCTTGGTGTTGGTGATGGCGCCATGCTTCTGGCGCAAGTGAAGACGCAGCTGGCTTTTGTGACGGAAATGCAGGTTACACTTCTCGCACTGAAGGAAAACCAGAGGTAAACTGTTAGCTGTGATCGGCCCAGGAAACATGTCATTGTTCAAAGACCCAGAGAAGGAGCTTCGCTCTGTCTCTCCCTGTGAGCCATCCAGCAGCTGTTTCCTCTTAGGGGCCAGGTTCTGAGCCCACCTGAATCTGGGATCCTGCTAAGGGACCAGTACTTCTTTGTGCAAATGCCCCTTCCCTGCTTTCCAAAACGTTGCCCAGACTTCTCTCCTACTTAAGCTGCATTTCCCTGACTTAACTCCACAAGTTCAAGTCTTATCCAAAAACTGCAGCTCAGGTGAAAACTCCCCTAATTATTAAGGAGTCTCTGAATCTCTCTAGAATGAAAAGAATCCCTCTTTCCCATTGAACCTCTGTAAGATTTCCAGCCTTGTCTTATTAGGTGGGCAATGCTTCGAGGGCAGTGACCACTCCTTACTAAACTTTATAAACTTCTTAGTATCTAGCAGAATATACTTAGGCAATTATACATTAAATCTGAACACATTTGGACAAATGGACTGACTCATGAAAATTGATGAGTCTAAGGATATGCCTTAAAAATGCAGTTAGACTCCTTCTTAGTGTGTACACTTTAGGTACGCTAACAAGGCATCACCAGGTAGAGCTGTTTCTTGCTTTGATTAAATGAATGGATGCTAATGGTTTTAGTGGAAGAGTTATTTAAAGGAAAATTAATGACTCTATGGGGTAACCTGAACATAATCCTTGAAGAGAAAAAGGCAATTTAGGTAAAAAAAAAATCCAAATAAAATATGGACTTTAGTTTGCAATAACATATCAGTATAGGTTCATTAGTTGTGACAAAGGTATCATACTGACATAAGTCATAAGACATTAACAACAGGGGAAACTGGGTGCACATAGGAGCTCTCTGCACCTCCTTTGCAACTTTTCTATAAATGTAAAACCATTCTAAATAAAAGTGTAATAAAATGTGTTCATATAGAGAATATGTTTTAAAGTAAAAATGCAAATACATTTACAGAAATAAACAAATCAAATGGGCAGGACAATGGTAGAAAGAGCCCTGGTCTCGGGAGAAATGGGGCCCATCTATGCCACCCTCCGCTGTGTGCCCTGCGTGTGTCATTTCTCTCTCTGGGCCTTCGCGGTCCCTCTGTATGGAACTGAATCAATACACTCTGCAGGTCACTCCTAACTCAGACAGCCTGTGCATCTAAACTTCTAGAGGATAATTATAATAGCAAAGATTTATTTTCCTCTTACTACATGTCAACTGCTCTGCACATTTTAGCGAATTCATTTACTTAATACAACAACTCTACGTGGTAGGTCCTCATATGGGCTCAATTTGTAGGTGATAAAATTAAGGTACTAAGAGATAACTAATACACCCAAGAATAAATAGCAAGTAAAAAGATATTCACTCAAGGATTAATAAACAAGACAATGAAAATAACCCCATTTTGCTGCTAACATTTGTGATATGGGTTAACCATTCTTCAATTCTTGTGCTCATCACTAAGTAGAGTGATGCCATATTCTCTTTTCAGATTAGATGGAAACTAGAAAGATAAAAGAGGCTGCGGTCTCAGTACTGCCCTTCGGAGCCAAAGAACCTCAGTGACTGAAAGGGAATAATTTGAAAACTGCTCTTCTACAGCATCCTCATCATTTCACAGAAAAAGGAAACTGTGGCCCAGGGAGAGGGGAAGGGCTTGCCCAAGGCCATAATAATAACCAAGATATCTCAGTTGCCTGTCCAGTATCTTCCCCTCTCTAGCAGAGATCTGCAAACTATTTTTCTATGGAGCCAGACAGTAAATATTTTAGGTTTCGTGGGATATTTTACATTCTCTGACACAACCACTCAGTTCTGCTGCTGTGTTGTTAAAAGTAGCCACAGACAATCCATAAATAAGTAAGCAAGGCTGTGTTCCAATAAAACTTTGCTTATGGACTGAAATTTAAATTTTATAAAATTTGCACGTATCACAAAATATTGTTTGTTTTTTACACACTTGAGTGTATAAAAACCACTCTTATCTCATGGAATGTTTAAAAATTAGCCTATAAGCCATTAATTTGCAGAGTCCCTGCCCTGGAACACCATGATTCTGAGGGGCCGATCATGGCTGCTGGCTGCTGGCCACCTGTTCCTTTCCTTCTTGAAATGTCCTTTTCTCTGTTTTATTTTATGTCACCACATTCTTCTACTCCCAATGCTATTGTTGGCTGCTCCTTTTTAAACTCCTGAGTTTGTCTTCAGTAGACATCAAGCCCAGCACTGAGGCATGCTGTAAGCACTCAATACACATCTTGGAATGAATGAATGAGTGACTCCACCATTTATGGATTCATAGTCCAGACCTCTTTCCTAAGGCCCAGATCACTATACCCATTACCCTCCTTTAAGGATGAGCAAACGGAGACCCAGGCCAAGGTCAAGCAGGGTGTCTTTGAAAATCAGGCCCAAATCCATATCTATGATCCCAAGTCCAGTGACCATCCCACTGTGCACTTGAGACAGGAGCAAACAGTTCTGCTGCTCTGCCCCTCCATGTCCCTGTCCCTCCCAGGTCAACCAGTAGCCACAAAGGCTCCCTTACATGGTAAGGTTTCTCTCCCGTGTGGATTCGCAGGTGGCTCTTTAGAGTCTGAAGATGCCGGAAACGGGTGCCACAGATTTCACACGGATAGGGCTTCTCGCCAGTATGGATAAGCACGTGGGCTCGGAGGTGGGCCACCTGGGCAGAAGAGCAAAGCGTGAGAGGCTCTGTCAGGGTGAGCTGCACACCCCTGGGCAGCCGCACACACAGGCCGAGGGGTCCTTTCCCCAGGCCCCCAGCTCACCTGTACAAATCTTGCTCCGCAGGTTTCACATTTGTAGGGCTTCTCTCCAGAGTGGATTCGAGTGTGGGTTTTCAGGTTCGCTGGTCGGTTGAACTGGGCCCCACAGATGTTACAGCGATAGGGTTTCTCACCTATTACCGAGGGAAAAGGAAAAAGGATAGCTGTGTTCAATGGAGTTCACCATAGTCTCGGGCTCCTGGATTTCAAAGCAAGCTGCCTTTCCCAGGACTGTTTTGACTTACTGTCCCTTGGAAGGTGTCAAAGAGAGGATCCAGGGGCCTGCCTCCCCTCCCCACATACACACAACAGCACCCCTTGATCAGAGTTAAAAGCAGGGAGGGGTAGAAACAATGCTGGGTGTGGAAAAGGGAGAGAGTGAGGCTCCAGGAAGCCTTGGGACCAGCTTTGTCATCAGGATCATCTAACAGTGGGACTCGGAAAAGTCACTCTCCTTCTCTGGGCCTCAGTTTCCCTCTCTGGAACCTGAGGGGCGAATGTGGATAGCTTGGAAAGGCTCTTCTAGCTCTTCGCTTGGATAAGACTGACTCACTAGTCAACCCACTCCGCAGGGAGATACCATCAGGCTGCTCTAGTTTCTTTCAGAACAAACATGCTTTTCCACTTGTGGCAACTACAGCTGGATTCCATTGGCAAAGGGGGTGGGGCCTGAGCTGGATTAGGTGTTCAGGCAGAGGAAGCCAATAGAGGGCTGCGCCTTCCTTCATGGAAAGTTTCTGGGATAAAGGAGCCGTTTAAAATACCAAGAGAGAGTCAACTTTGGACAACAATCAGGTTATTAGAAGCTACCCGGTAAAGGAATGTGAGTTGATAAGGAATAGGCCCTTAGAGGAAATCAAGAGGCCTTTGTGTGTGTGTGTGTGTGTGTGTTTTTCCTGGCTTTGCAAAAACCAAATCTACTTTGTGTCTCTCAGCCTTAGTTTCTCCTCCTCAACAGTGGGATCAACACTTCTGACTCTAGCAAAAGAAGAGAAGCAGAACAGAGCAGCTCAGAGGAAAGACGAAGGGTACATGGAGTAGACCAGCCACTAAGCAAAGATGTGACAGGGCTAGAGCCCTCATTCAGGCCAGGATGGGGCCTGCTCTCTGCCTCACTCCACTGGTACCAAGCCCCAGACTGCTTTCTCTGGAACCCTCTCTCTTTCCTGACCCCAGGAAAATCAGCAAGCTCAGGTGGGGTGGGGCAGGGCCATACCCGTATGGACGGTCTTGTGGCTGGCGAGGTTGCCCTTGTAGCGGAAGGAGGCCTGGCAGCGGTCACACTTGTAGGGTTTGTCACTGTGGGTCTGCAGCGTGTGCCTCTTGAGCGAGGCTTCCTCAGAGAAGCGGCAGTCACACTCATTGCAGAAGAAGGCCCCGTTCTCTGTCAAAGGGTGGGAGGGGACACGAACATCAGCGGGAGCAAGAGAGATGGGGCTCCAAGGCCCCTCGCCTCCATAGCCACCCCAGTGCCCCTGCCCACCCAACATACATGGGAACCCGGAGCAAAGGGCCTGTGGAGATTTTCTTTTTCTTAGCATTTAGAAGGAGAAAGGAGGCATTTGAATACAAAGGTACAGAAGGAAGCTCGAACCAGCAGGTACCCATATGGCCCACAACAGCTTGAGGAAGGCACCCGCGGGGCTCTCCCTTTTCTGGAGAGCGCTGAGGCCTGGCTGCTCTTATCAGTTCATAGTTTTATTTGTATTCATTCACAGACGCCCTTGGCAAGGCCCTTCAGGTCCCTGAGCCTCTGTCTGTGTCTCTATCTCCAAAATCAGGATAATAAACCCCTGTCCTACCTGCTTCATAGGAGCACCTGACATAACAAAAGCAGCATAGGAATGTAAGATTAAATCAAATGCAATGATACTTTGAAGTCAGTGGGAAGATGAATGACAAACACGGTCACCCTTGCACCGATCTGCATTTCATGTCTCCCAAAGATCTGTGAGGCTGGGAGACTACAGGTGATGGTGGGAGCAGAAATAGAGGCCCAGAGAGAAGGAGCTCGAGTGCAGAACAAAGGCAAATGGCCAGAGGGACAGACGGGGACATTACAGCTGGGAGTTACAGCCCCTGCTCTCTTAACTATAGGTCCACAACCCTGTGCCAAATCTCTCAGTGTAAATAATTTATTTTTCCTTTGGTTATAACAACTTGAAAATGACACTTCATGGTGGCTCAGCCCCGATTCGATATTTCTGCGCTATATTATGAGAGCCAGAGCTGCAGGAAGACAGACTTTTTCATCTGGTAAAAACTGGGGATGTCAAACACAGACTATTCAGAAACTTTAATAATTCTGTTCAACTAATCTAGTTCAGCTAACATTTACTGAGTACCCACTCTGTTCTAGAGACTCCCTAGGACCTCTGGGAGATGCAGGAGTGAATCAGTTCAGATGCTTCCCCTCCAGAATGGACGACCCAGCAGGTGCACTAACATGCCCATAGATCCCGCACCTGCAGTTTAGGCCCGGAGGGGCTGAGAAAGCGCTGGGAGTTACAGCCCCACAAGCTTCTTTTTCTGGAATGAAGCTACAAAGTCTGTTTGATCATTCTCTGTTACCCAGGATTAACTCTAACACCCCATCTTCTGCTTTGGTCAGCCTAGTTCCCTACAAGGTCAAGAGTGGAGCGATCAGCTGGTGCCAATGGTCTTCATCAGGAATTTCTCCCAACCAATGACAACAGCATAAATACAATGGAAGACAAACCCCCACAAAGCAGAGGCCGGGGGGCGGGGGGTTCTCCCTGGTCGGAGAGGTCGGAGGGTGGGACTCACCACAGCTGGAGTCCGAGTACTCAGAGTGGGTCTCTCCCATCTCCTCGGGGAACGTGGGGCCGGTGGTGTGGAGGCACATCTCCGTGTGCTGTGGGGACTGAGAGCCGCAGGACGTGCACTTCGGGGGGTGCAGGTAGAGGGGCGAGTGGCTCTCACTGCTGCTGCTGCTGCGGGGGGAGCCTGTGAGAGACCTGCGGGAGGAAGAACAGAGTTTCAGCTGCTGAAGCAGAGGTGAGCCCTCCACTGGTCCCCACTCCCGGACCTAGTTTCTTTCCCACAGTACAGAGGCGGGAATTCCCTGGCTGGCTATGGAAAAATCTTCATCCTTACTTAGGCGAATTCAATCATTAGGCACTTATCCCACTCCTCTGATATGCTCCGATAGCCCCTGCATCCCTCAGAAGTGACCCCCGGGACCCTGCCAGGTAACCCCTGAGCCCAGGCCTGGACTGCCTCTTCAATCACCTGTTGACAATGTTATTGAGCCGGCTGGCCTGAGGGATGGTGGAGTCCTCCCCATTGGCGCTGAGCTTAGCTGGGGACTGAAGGTCAAGGTTCTCCGGCTCCATGGGCGGCTGGCAGGCTGGTGGGGCAGGGTAGACTCGAGGGGAAAGGCGGCCCAGCTCGGCCTGCTCGGGCTCCTCCGGTTTGGCATTCTGGTTGAGGCTGTTGAGCACAATAAACTTGTATTTCTTCCAGTTGCAGGCTTTGGGGTCCGTGGGGCTCTTGGCTGGAGGGGAGCCAGAGGTCTGAAGGATGCAGGCATTCTTGCTGCTGCAGGACTCTGTGGGCGAGTTGGGCTGGCAGTCGGACTTCTGGGGACTCTGGGGACTAACCAGACCCTTCCGGTTTAGGGGTGCATTGGGGGGCTCGAAGTGCAGGGCAATTTCATCCTCTGAAGAGGGTCTCTCTTCCTCCTTGCCGGTCTTGTCACAGGGGAAGTATGGGACATTCCGGGCCGAGGGGGCAGCTGGCTTGGGGCCCTCGGCCACACTGTAGTGCATGTCACTCCGTGCCTCCTCTGGGGCCGTCTCCTTGGGTGAGTAGATGTTGCTGTGGCACACACTGTGGGGGATCTCCATGGCCAGCCGGCTGTACTCCCCAGGGATCGGCCTGGCGCTATCGCAGGGGAGGGCTCGCTCCTTGGGGAAGGGGTTGGCCACAGGCATCCGGGCATCCCGCAGCTCCTCATCGGAGAAGAGGAAGCTGCTGACAGGGAGGTGGCTGTACACAGGATAAGAGGCTGGCGGTGTGGACAGGCCACTGTACAGGCTGGGGGCAAAGGCTCTGCTCTCACACCCTGGGGGGTTCCTCAGTGGCAGGTTGTTCTCCACCACCTCGCGGCCCCGATAGGCCATGATGTCTTGGGGCATCAGCATCCGGCTGTTCAGATACTCTTCACGGGGAGGCTTGATGGCAGGAACCATCTCTGCTTCACTGCAGGAGAAAACAAGAGAAGACACCGGCCTCCAAATTAGAACCACTACACAGGCGACCTTCCAAGTGCCACTGTCTATGCAACCACAGTTGTGCTTGGGCCAGCAAGACATAGGCAATATGGCTTTGGAGTAGGGAAACACTTGCAATTACAAGGCACTAATGCTTGAAATCTAGCAATCTAGCCCACAGTTGGGTAAATAGGCCCAGTGAAGAGAGTTACCCACACAATCTGAGCCTGTTTAAGTCACATACATAAGTAGGAATGTGACTCTGTAATTCTTTGGATTACTATGGAATGTAAAGCTTCCAGAGCCCTTATCTCAGTTCACCCAGGCTAAGTCCTGCAAGGAAGGGAAGGCAGGTATTACTGTCTCCATTTTATACATATGGGAACTGAGGCTCAGGGAGGGAAGAATTCATACAGTCCTGGTGCCACATGGGCAGAGGGCCATAGGCAAACTGGTGCCCTGGGGAGAAAAGGACTCGAGTCATAGGTAAGTGGACTTTGGAAAACAGGCAGCCTGGCTTGTGCAGGAAGCCCTGACTCGGAAACAGCCAGACCTGGCTTCCAGTCCCAGCTGAGCCACTTAGCAGCTGTGTGACCTGGAGCAAGTTACTTAACCGCTCCAAGCATAGGGCCTGACCTAGAGAAAGCACTCAGAAATGATGGCTCTGATGATCTTGCCACCATTATCACCCACAGAAGACAAAGAGTTCTAGCTGCATATACTGGAAGGGACACTATGTGGGCAAAAAATAGGCCAACTCAAACATGATCACAGTTAACAGAGCTAGAACCAATGAGTGAATATTAGGGGAGCCATTTCAACTCGCCATAAAGAGGAGCTTTCTGACTGTCCAAGGTTGACTGCATGGCTCTGGGAACGCTGCGTTCCCAGCTCCTGGTGGGGTTCAAACAGAGGCTAGAAACCCTTCTGTTTGACAAGGGTTATAATCACCCCAGAGCAGTGAATCAAATGGTTCTAACAAAGCTCCTCCCTTCTTTGGCCCTCAGATTCCTCACCTTTACATAATGGTATGTCTTCCCAGCCCTTGGATAGGGAGTAGCTAAAATAGAAGAAAAATCTAAAGGATAAGCAAAGGCTTTGGAACAGAGAGGAAGAGCAGAAGAAAAAGGTGAGTGATAATCATAAAAACATCCACAGAGGAGCTGGCATCCAAGCATGGCTTTACAGGGTAGGTGGGAGGAAAGGGCGTGTCAAGTGAATGGGAGAGAGCCAGAGGTGAGGATGCACAAGGCCTGTCTGGATAGCAGTAAGGAGTCAAGTTGGCTGGAGCACAGGATTTCATAAGGGCAGAAGTGGGCAAAAATAGTGGAAATTTAGGTTGTGGCACATTACAGAGGATTATGTTTTTTTTCTGTATGCATGCAATGTCCAGGGTTTCTCATCCCTTCTGATCCCTCTCATCTCCCAGCCTTCCACCTAGTGGCAGCTCACCTGGCCTTGATAAACTTCCGGCAAGTGTCCACGACATGCTCCATCTGCAAGTACATAGCTGTGGCCATCACGGCCATAATGTTGCCCTCCCTCAGGTTGAGCCGAGATGTGTACATGAAGTCCAGGAGGATGCAGAACCCCTCGGGGTTGATCTCAGGATCCAGATTGATCACACTCAGGTTGCATTTCAACTGGTCTGTGAAGATGCTGTAGAACAGGCCACTGTAAAACAAACACATGTCTCAGTATAGCAGGCGTGTATAGACTCTCATCAATTACAGTCAGCATCACGTGCAGCCCCTCTCCCCAGTCCCTACCCCCAAAACTTCCACAGCAATTAATAATAGTGCCATTTACGGAGTGCTTATCAAATGCCAGTGAGTCATTAAGCACTTTTTATATTTATTCTTCACAACCTTGCCAGGTAGATACTATCATTCTCCCTCTTTTCAAATGAGGAAACGAAGATCAAAGATGTTAAGTGATTCTCTCCAAGTCCCAGAACTTGTTTTCCTTTTAGTGTTATAACTGCACAGATGACCAGAGTTAAATTTAACACTCATTTGCAGTAACTATTTTTTATTATTTTATATCTTTGAGATAAGCCTTTTCCTTGTTCCATCTCTTTTTCTTATAACTCTTATTGTATTTTTTAAAAATTAAGTTGAATAATGATGATAAATCAATAAAATGATGCCTACATCTACATTCTACTGATTTTTTCTAAAATCCCATAGACTATCACAAGTTCAGTATTCCTAGAAGGTCCAAGCCAAGCCTCCAGTTACCATGCTGTCTGGCTGAGGAAAGAGCACTCAGAAGCCAAAATTTAGGGCTGCCACCTCAAGTGTACTCTTCCTGTATTGCAGAAGTGAGCCTCACTTCCACCAGTAAGAAGGAATGCAACCTTGGGTAAGATACTTCTCTATACCTTAGTTTCCTTATCTGCAAAGCAAAAACAATAGTATCTACCGTACAGGGTTGAGGCAAGAATGAATATGTAAAGCAGTGGTTCTCCACCTTAGCTGCACATTAGAATCATCTGGGAGTCTTTTTAAAATCCTGATTTCTGGGCCTCATCCATACCAAAGAAACGGAATTACCAGAGGATGAGGCCCAGAAATCAGGATTTTAAAAAGATTCCCAGGTGATTCTAATGTGCGCCAAGGTTGAGAACCACTGATCTACATAATGGAGGCAATCATGCCATCCATGACACAGGCCACTACAAAGATCCAGGGAGATAATGTAATATAAAATTGCTGTGAACACTTGAAATCCTTGACAAATATGAAGAAATAGCTGGCTCACTTTCACTAACTTACCCATGGAAATACAGCCACGGTATAAAAGAAATACAATTATGGAATAGAAGAGCAAAATATTTCAAATTAGCTTGCTTAACATATTTTAAAAATCTCTTTCACTTTTCATTTTTTTTCACATGTGAACTGAAGTTATTCTCCATGTTTGCTCCAAACACATCCTTTCTTGAGATAGTATGTGATGTCATCTCCCTCTATTCCCACAGAATAGAAACGCTTTCTTCTCGAAAGGTGTGGGCATTCATTCCCTTTCTGGGAGGCTACCCAGCCAGGCTGGACATCTGGACACAAATCAGATGTGATCCCAAACATAGCAAGGGGCCCACATGTTCCACCTCGTTCGCTGCCAGCACCATCACTCCCCTTATATTCATCTAAATTTCCTTTCCAGACCCTCACCTGCAGGCCATGAGGACTGTCTTATGGGCTCTAAACTGCTCACGGCTCACCACTATGACAACATCAGTCAAGATGTCCCGGCTCCGGAGGCGATTAAGGTTGAGAAGGACGTCACTGGCATGGCGGGTGAACTGGATACAACTATCAGCCGGCGAGGCCATTTTGTCTTCACCTGCAAAAAGGGGTCAAAATCCTATTAGTTAACCAGAACCTGCTTCTTGCTTACCAGGAGCATGAGAGCAGGTAGTTCAGCCTGCTAGCATGGGATGCAAACTGAGGCCCCTTGTGTTTGGTCTTTAAATAATTCGTGGCCCATCTCTGGATATTACTGTTCACATCTGTAAAATGGGGAGAATAATTTTTATCCAACAAATCAGAATAGAAAGCCCTTTACAGAAAAGGGGGAGGGAATGAATATTGTTGAGTGTTTTTCCCACATATCAAATACTCTACCAGCATTGAGAAGCAGTGAGTGTGTGACAGGGGAGAGAACCAGGCTTTGAAGGTTAGCATACTAGCTTGACCTTTTTTGAGCTGTGTGACTTGGAGCTGGTTGCTCAATGTTTCTGGGCTTTGGTTTCCCAAAATGAGAGTAGTAATACCTATGTAGTTGCAAAATTAGAGGTATGTGCCTGATCCATCGTCTAGGTTCTGAAAAATTGTAGCTATTCTCATCAGTATCTCATTTCTCCTCTATCAGGCTTTAGAATTATCTCAATGTTCTGACGAGCACCTAGCACATTGTTAGTGCATAGTAGGTGGCTACATCAATTTGAACTAAAATAATTTGGGGAACGAATGATCACACAACAGTGTTAAGATAGTCTAACGCAGGGGTACAGGATGAGGGCTGGGAGTGATAGAGAAGGAATCAGCAATCCTTCACCTCATCTAATGAAAACTGGCAAAGTTCACAGAAACATATGCATTGGCAAATTCAAAAGAAACAGTTTCCCCACAAAATCTTAAGGCATATAGTTCAATTTACTTACCCAATGCCTTGATTCACAGTCCAAAATTTTGCTTAAAACCTGCAGGGAAGAGAAAAAACAAATAAACAGAAATTGATTTAATGAATGTAAGATTGTCCACTATGGTCTTTTTTTAGAACACACGTGTTTAGTTTTACTTTGATAGCTGCAGCCTGCCAGCTGGTGCGGTTTTACTATAAGCTAGGAAGCATTTTTCCAGCTCTGCTCTTATGAAAACAACAGGCACCCGAAGCCCTGCGATAATGTTTATACCCTGAGTACTGGGGATACAGTACATACATATACATATACACATATGTTTCCTTTCTCAATGGAAACAATGTTCACTACCCCAAAGCCAGTGCATTTATGGGAAAGAAAACATGTAAAGAAAGAAAAAAAAATCAGTATTAGTAAGGATGATCATTCAGGGACCTAAAAACTTTGGACGCTTTTCGAAACTGCTAAAATATTATTTTTTCAAGTCTTAGAATGATTCCACGAGGCCAACAGGGTCAATATCCTTTCCCTAATTTCACTGGTGACAAAACTGAGTCTCGGGGTCAAGTGGCTTTCCCAGGACAAAACAGCCAGGCAGTACTTCCTGACTGTCTGAAAGTACTGAAGTACTGAATACAGAATCTGCAGAATACAACCTGCAATGGCCTAGCTATGCTTTTCTTAAGGATCTTTGCCTTCTGTTTAAAAGTTTCCTCTCCCTTCCCTCCTGGGTCTAAGACAAGATATACTACCACAATCTTGCAAGTTTGTGCTTCCCCCTGCTGGTGAAAAGATTTAATTGTCTGATTTAGCTGAGAACTGGCCAGGGAGCATTAATGAAATATGCACCTTCTCCAAATTGGTTTCTTTAAAACAAAATAATTTAAAAGCACAGGTGGAAGACTCTCGTTTATGACAGTATATGGGCTGCAGAGCAACAACAACAAAAAAACTATCTTAGCCCTCCTCCCCACCCGCTTTTAAAAAAAGCCTAGGCCTTAGTTATTTTCCAGGTAAAGGGGCCCGAGGCCAGGGAGGTCTTGTTAGACCACATAGATGGTGAATAGCCCGGCCCTAGGTCTTCTGGCTCAAATTCCTGACCCTTTCCAAACCAGCCTACGTGCTGTAGAACATGCAAGACAGCACCCTGACGTGGGTGAATCTCATTTTTAAGTTCCTTCCCCCCACACAAACACTTTGCCCCCATTCCAGGCTGCTGAGTCTTACCAAATGAGCACTAAAATGAGAGGTTTCTTTGAGTCTGTAACCAAAAACTCTGACAATTCTGTGGTCCCAAGTGCCAGTCACTCAATCTCATCGGCTTCAAGGTTAGGTGTGTATGTGAGTGAGTGGGGTGAGGGGGAAGAAAATGGGGGAAGGGAGAGGACAGAAAAAGACAAAAGAACCTATTTCCTCCTCTCCCCGTTCTAGCTCAAAATGGGCAAGAGAGATACACTAAATTGATCCTAACAATAGTTCAATGATTGGTCTCCTTTGAAAAAGAATGTTGAAGGCACATGTGAGGTTTATTTATAAACCCGCTCCTCTTCTCTCATGGAAGAGATCCTTAAACACTTCTGTAATAACTAAGGCTGTCCTCCAGCCAGCTGCAACCACCAGCTCTCCTGTGGATTTCCAGTCACACACCTTTGGACCACAGGAAGCCCAGATTTTCCATTTCACCTTGACACTTGTCAATGATTCACTCCAGATTCGGATTGAAACAAACAAAACAATTCCCCTTGGTCTACTATCAGCCAGCTCCGGGCTGGGCCCCTTTCACCCTAAACCCCTGCCTGGGTTGTCCCAAAATAAATGCACACACACTGAGGTCCATGTCCTTATTAAGTCCACTCCTTCCTACATAGCTCTGTCTCAGGAGGTTCCACAATTAGTGAATATGTGGGTTATGGTGGGTGTGGGTGATGAACTTCCCTCTAGATGGTGCATGTGTGGAGGGACCACTAGCATTTGGTTTGTTTTTTACAGACCACTCAGCTCCTTCCAGTCCATTATTGTATCTGATCCTCATAAAAGCCCTGATTTAGTGGGGGAGGACACTGAGGCTCCAGGGGAATAAGCCTTGCCCAACATCTCAAAACTAATCACCAGCAAGCCCTGGGCAAACCTGTCTGCTAGCTTCAGAAACGCACCAGACACACACAAGATTCATTCCACAAAAACAACCAAGAGATCAGAGCTGTCCAGGAGAAAGTGACAACTGCAAGGGCCCAGACCTGGACTCCTCTGAATCCAGCCCACCCCGCCCCAGCCACAGTAACTACCAAGTGAGAGTTAAAAAACCACGAAATGAGAGTTAAAGATTGTCTTCTCCTCCCCCCGCCCCACCCGGCAAACACACACACACACACACACACACACACACACACACTTTCCTTTGTGCTTTAAACTTAGGCACCCTCAGGAGAACTGCAGGTCCTTTAAAGGATTTGGAGAAGAAAAAAGAGGGTCTTCCCCCTAAAACAAAGAAAAGAAAGAAAGAGGAGAGAGAGAGAGAGAAAAGAGAGAGAGAGAGAGAGAGAGAGAGAGCGAGAGCGAGCAGAAATGACAGACCAAACAGGAGATGAGAGGAAGGCTATGTTCCGGCGACAGGGAGCCAATACAAAGACCCATCCTTTTCCTCCTCCCTACACTCGGTGGGCACTGGGCAGCCCCATTCTCTCGCTCACAAACCCAAGCCCACCCCGTAGCCCACCCCTTCTATACGGTACCTGGCTGCCAGGGGCTGCCCACCCGGGGGCATTGTGCCACCACCGCTGCCCATCTGTCTCCGAGTCCCCGTGGGCTCGGCGGAGGCCCCGCGGGACTACCGTGGCAGCCCTGAATTTGGTTGTACTCGGATAAAACTTTTCGTGCACCTCGGGAACTAACATTGTGTGTGCCTCTTTCTTTTCCTGTTACGCCCGTCAAGGCAGGGGGCAGTGAGGGGAATGGCTCAGCCCTCTCATTCCCGGAACGTCGTCGATCTCCGCTCAGCGGAGTTCACGGAACACTCTCTGCCTATCGCCGGCTCCAACGAGAAGTAACTTTCCAGGAAGCCGCTGGCCCCCAACGGCCGCCGGGATCGCCGCCTGCGCCGCGCGGGCTGCCGGGGATTCACCGGGAAGGGAGCGGGGTGGGGGCGCCCCGGACGCTGGCGGGGAGTACGGACACTTTCCCCTAAACCCCTCGGCCACGCGCATCCGGGCACTCACAGCTCGAGTCCTACCCTTCCCCGCAACAGTTTCATAAACGGGGATGGTCAGGCGAGTTAGTAGCAGAGCCGGTCTAGACCTCGGGATTTCGGGTCCATTTCATGACTTGGGGTTGCCCAAGTCTGATGTTTATTTGCCTGGGGCGTCATTTTTTTTTCTTTTCTCTTTTCGCTTGGCCCCGAAATCCTTCTAAAGAGGATAGTTAGGCGAGGCGTCAAGGCCTAAAGGTAGAGGGCTCAGGGTCTCTATGCAGCGTACCCCAGCCGAGTTGGAGAAAAACTAAACCGAAAGCCCCTTCCGCCTACGTTGGCAAGTAGGGGAACACAGCTCGACTGGGTTTCCGCCCCAAGTCTTTAGAATAAGAGCTGCCAGGCCGAATCTGGCCAGGTTTCGGTTTTTCCGAATTCTATTTCTCCGAAACCCCGTAGAAACAAGGTTAGGATCCAGGAGAGGCCCGGACGCCGACCCCGCCGCGCGCGCGCTCCAAGGTTGCCGCGCCTTCCCGTAGCCTTCCTTGGAATTATATTTATCTCCTATTTATCTCAGCAGCGGGCTCTAAGAGGGACTTTGGGGGGCTGGGGTACCGGGGATGCTAAAGACGCAGCCTTGCAAGCCACAGCTGGGTCTTAAAACTGGCGTTGGCGACACCCAGCACCGCGCCACCCGTCAGCGAAGGAGGCGGTGTTAAGGTCCGTTGTTCAAGACTGGGCCTCTGCAGCCTCATACTTTGAGGCTTTCTCATTCCTTCGCCCGGTGGAATACTGGTAGAAGCGAAGGCTGAGATTTAATATGGGACGGGGTGTGAATCCGGAAAAAGAGGTTAAAATTAAGTAAATGCACTTATTGGAAATTAGGAGTACCGTAATCATGTTTCACCGCTGCTGAACACTAGAGGGAGCCGTCCCACCAGGGCTCGATACCAACAATCCCTCGTCGCCCCGCCCCTTCTTCCTTCCCATTGACCTAGTTTCGACAGTCTCGGGAGCTGGAGAACTCGGTCCTCCACCCCAATTATTGGAATAACTCCAATAACTCGTTGAGAAATCCAAAGGAGCATGTGGAAGTGTAAAGCATTGTTTAGGGGCAGGGACGAGGAATTTTAATAAGGGTGCAGCTGAGCAGTGAAACCCGCATCGTGGTTCCTGCCGGCGGAGCGCTCCCTTTCTACGTAGCATCTCTACTAGGGAACAGCTCGGGTCCAGCCACAGTGGTCCCGCAGTAGGGGATGGGGTTAAACTGTGGAGTTGTTTCTGTTCAGTGCGGGACTCTCTTCCAGCTTTTTCGCTGGGGGACGGGAGGGTGGGGAGTCGACAGTAGATGAAAGCCAATTTGATAATGCGGTAGCCTCGGCAGTCGTTTTGGGTGACCGAGGTGTTCAGGAACATTATGTCCTAACTTTCATTTCTATCACGTTTCTGACAAAAGCGCTCTTTTAAGCCTGCAAGCTTCTAGGAAATGCCATAAAACAGAGAGATGTGTTTTATCAGCAAGATCTGAAGAGGAGCTGCAGAAGGGACGCTCCCCATGCTCCCAGCTTGCGACAGCCTTCCAGAAAGGTCCGGCAGACAATGCCAGCAAACCACGTCCCCGAGCAAAGATATCTCGGTCATCCTGGTTGGATCCGCTTGGCTTCTGCAAAAAAGGCCTGCGGAGGAGGGAAGCGGCATGATCTCCCCAAGCAAACAATGCCTTTAAAAATCCGATCTGGACAGAAGTCAGCCAAGGTCTTTATTCACGTTAATGAAGATGGAAGGCACTAACTGTCCTTGGAAAGCGATGAGTCAAACTTGACTGCTCTTCAAACACGTCCCCAGATTCATTTCCAACCCGAACAGAGGCGCGTTTCTCCGACACGGCCTCCAACAACTCCCCCAGTGAGAGAGGCTAAACTCGGTTCCGGGGACCTGGGCGGTGGAGACGACAGCGTCTCCTGAGGCTGTGCGTGCGGCCGTCGCTAGGGGCCGCCAGGACACCGACGCACGTTTGCCATCTTAAGTTTTTAACTCCCAGAAAGAAAAGTTTGCTATGAAGCGGTTGTGGCACAAATTCTATGAGGATTACACTCTGCCTGTCTATACGACCCACCCACACAACTGATTTCTCTCCAAGCCACTTAGAAAAGTTTAGAAAGAAGAGGATAGAGAGGAATTTCAGGATCTAAATGTGAGCCTCAGGTGCTGCAAGATGCATCTCCGCATGTCCAGGGACTGGGCCTTAATCACTCCCTAATACACGCCTCCCTCCCCCTCAAGGAATGAGACCCCCCCCCACACACACACACACACTCCTCAGCACAACTGTAGGTATTTCGTGTTAGTTACTGAAAATCTTAGGCCATACTTTATAAACCAATTCCTCCAAGACAGCTGAGAACCATTTCCAACTACAGTGACCTGAGAGGTTGGAATTAAGGCTCTCTGACTGCATACCTTCTCTTGCTTACCTCAAAGGAGCGGAGGTAAGCTTACCTTTGACTTTCAGTCACTAACCTGGAAATTCAGAAACTTAAAATCCGGCCTGGACTAAGTCAGTGTCTCACCATTACAGGTCCCCTCATCAGGCCTGTTTCTTCAACTGTAAAGAGTTGTATGTCCTAAGAGCCCCCATGGCATCCCTCCGCTACCAACATCCCCCAACTCCCCTCAGTCCCAGCCCCTCACCCGGAGAGGTAACCGCGATCTGGAGGTAGTGTAATCAAAACGAGTTCGAGTTCTTTTACGGTTCTCTTCTTGGAGGCAGATGCCCATCACTAAGCAATCTTGGATCGGGTAAGCATCCCGAGGCTTTATAATTTTCATCCATCTTACCCAAACTTTGGATGTCGGGTGACATCCTCAATGGAGCCTGTCCTCCCTGCCAGACCTAGTACCAGGTTGGGAGACTTGGAGACCAGAAGTGGCGCGGTCCACCCACCGCCCAAAGCTGGAATCTCAGCAAGACCTATCACTAGGTGGCAGACTCGGTCCGTCTGAAAATCACTGGCGGCCACAACCTTCCACACCCGACTACCCTCAACCTTCCCCCCCCCCTCCACTTTTTGTCTGCTAGGGGGAGGGAGTTGCCATCACAGGCAAAGCTGGAAAACATTTAATTTACTAGATGTAATTCTTTTCTTCGCGAGGCTCACGCCTCTCGCAACCACAACACATTATCTGGAACTGAGTCCCTGGAGTAGACTGTCATTTTTTTTTTCAGCCGGAAAGGCTGAATGTATTGAAAAGGGAAAGCAAGGGTGCACTTGTCTTCAAAAAGAAGAACAGAATGGCATTCCATGGCATTTAGCAGAGCTCCCTGTCAAACACTGGTCGACCAGCAAGGAAAGTCTATAATAAACCCCTGATCCCCACAAAGAAAGCAGTCCCTGGAGCTCAGCTGCAGGGTTCCACCCAGGCTTACAGCGCCCCAAAAATCAGGGAGAGTGGGAAAGAGGGGACGAATTTGGTCTTTTGCTGGGGCCACTGATCTGAGGCCGGGAGTCGAAGAGGATTGGGAGAAGCCTCTCCTGCCTTCCCATGGGGCGAAGAGAAGCCCGCCCGCTTTGCCACAACACAGCACCCTCGCTGGGATCACTGCTGCAGCGTTCCCACTTGTTGCGCAGTGCAGGGAACCAGCATGCGCCACACTAACTTCGACTCCGGTTGGGCTCCAAACCAAGCTACAGACCAGAACACCATCGCCCCCAGCAATCCCCTAACCTCACTCCCAAATCTCTCCCCCCTCCCCCACGCATACACCACCATCACCGCCAGGAAAACTACAGGGCTTCCAGTCATTATGGATCTTAACACTGCTAATAAAGCATTCCTTCTTATCTCAATGTCAGATAGGCAACAGAATTCAGGTGCTCTGAGACGTCAAGTCGAAAGGGAAAGGAAGGGAAGGGGGCTACCTCCTCCAGGAGAACTCCCTTGCTTAAAGCCAACTAGGCAACCTTCCTCTCTCTCTGGTTCTCTCTCTCTCTCTCTCTCTCTCTCTGGTTCTCTCTCTCTCTCTCTCGCTCTCTCTCTCTCTCTCTCTCTCTCTCTCTCTCTCTCTCATTAGAACTACTTTGCTGATTATACGACACCATCCTAGCTGAAAATCAACTTTTCCTCTTCCCATTTGAGAGATCAACTGCAAAGTCCCTTTTTAAAAAGTTAGTTTTATATCTGCTTGTTAAAGGCAAAAAAAATAAAAAATAAATTCCTCATAAGGTCATTTCACAATATTTTTCAAATTCTTTGACTTGTGCACACAAGAGTCTCACCCACCAAGGGGTGGCGCTGCCACACCACCTCCTCTGAATCTTAAGTTTTTCATAACCAAGTGGCTTGTGAGTGTGGCTACCGGACAGGAGAGAGAGGGAAGGAAGGATTTTGACATCTAGTCATGGCTAACATTTACTCAACCAATAACTGGAACTCTTCAGGGCTCAGGAAAGGACAGCTTAAGAGTTTAGAGTCCCACCCCTGTCCACCAAGCCCAGAAAGAATTGGAAGGTCTTTTCAAGAAAGCATGGGATAAAAACCCTTCCCAACTGAGCACAGAGGTAAGGCCAATTGGAGAATTCCCCCTTCCTCTGGCTGCCTTCTCTTTCAGGTTGCCTAGTTTTCACAAACAGCTTCTGGCCTTATTGTCACAACCAACGGACCCTTAAAATCAGCCAATGCACTTGAGCCTGCAGTATTAGAAAGTCTTCCAAATAGTATGATATTGGAAACTTCTATTTATAAATGGGGGGAGGGGAAATATTTCTCATCTACAAGTTTCTATTTTGGCCTGAAGACTCAACAGCAGTCATTTGAGCAAGGGAATGCCCATTTCCTGGTGCTCTCTTTCCATTTCTTCCTCCCCCAGAGACATATCTTTTCTCTCTTTTTTTAAAAGTGTATATTTTAAAGCAAGAAAGTGATTTCACCTCATTCCTTTGAGCTCATGTTTGCTACCTCCAGGAATAGCGTGTGGACTAGGGCCAGATGAACTTCAACTTGGGCTGCAGATTTACGAGGTTCTGTTCCAGTGCCAAAGGCTCTTGGTAGTAAATCTTGAGCAAAACAGATACCTGTCTCTCTGACGCATCTTGCCCCCCTCTTATATTTTTTAAGTTATTTATTAAAACCACACACACACCTTGCAAAGAAAAAGGGAAACTGGCAGTCTCTGTAGAGGAAGCCGGTGACATCGCTCAGAGCCACAAACTGTATTTCTAAACAGCCCTTTCCCTGGTTCCCTCTCTCCTGCCCCACTTTTTTCTTTCTGGCCAGTAATAAAAAATGCCTCTACTGATATTCACTTTACTTATTTTAAAAAAAAAATTACAAGATTTTTCTTCTGGAAACTATAAACTAACTAGAAAAAAAAACCCATAAGGATTAAATTCTTTGGGGGTTTTGGGGGTGGGGTAGGTGGCTAGCTCTCTCAGAAGGGACACAGTCAACAGCTCTGGACTTTCAGCACACTGTTTAGGGTCATTTCCACTGCTCAGCTGTCAGGACCCCCACCACCAAGTCTTAACTACTGGGAGAAGGGATACAACAGTAAAGGGGTCTTTTTCACTCTTTTAAAAATCTGTTGTGTGTGTTCTTGTTTTTTTTTTTCATGGGGGAGCTTTAAAACTCATGATTGCAACACCAGTTCCATTTTTCGCCAGAGTTCCAATAATACAGCATCATACAGGCAACGCAATCCACAGCTCTCAAGAAATTTACCATGATCAGGTCACTACAGCCGGCAGCGGGCTGGCCCCTCGCTCCAGCTGTCGCCGGGAGCAGCCGACTTCCGAGGCTCCAACTCCCAACCAGCTCCCGCCCCGGGCCGCCGCCGCCGCCGCCTTCTCCCATTCCTACTCCCTCGAGAAGAGCCACAGGTTGCAAATCCAACCAACCGCACATTCCGATTTTGCAAAATCACTCACAAAGATCTCCCTTTCGCGCCCGCGCCCCCTCCTCCTGCGCCGGGTCGCCCGGCCAGGTCCACAAAGTGTTCTCTCCTCCCGGGTCTTGCACGTAGGAACGCGGGCTGGGGCTGTTTTGTTTTCCCCTCGCCCAGTGCAAGGACCTCGGTAACGTAAAGCCTAATGTTGGCCACTTTCCGGCCCGCCGTTGTCATTTTACAAAGACTGCACCATAGGAAAAATAAAATAAAATTTAGGAACCAGGGGGAACAGCCATTGGGAGCTAACACCAAGTCACGCAGTACCCAAAATACAAACACCGCGACCGCCAAGAAATCCCGCCACCTTCCTTCTCTGCTAGGCTGTCTGGTGAAGGTTCCCGGAGTCCCCACACACTGAACAGCACCGCAGGTGCAAACGCGTACCCCTTGACCACCTCCCACCCCCAAATCCCCGTCCCGCCATCAGCTTCTCTCCTTAGGATGGGAGAAGGAGCGCGCGGTGTTTCCGACTCCCTTGTCTGCAACCAAGAAAGAATAATTTCCAAAAGTATTCAACATCCCCGCCCCCAGGCAAGCTAAACCTCCCCCAAAACACAGGGAAAGGGGACACCAAAACACTCGCATCTCGTTAGGAAGATCACGGCTCTGAACAGAAAAAGTAGAAACTATACTTCATCCGGATTTTAAGGGGATTAAAAAAAATTAAAAGCCACCGAGGAGTTCGATTGCATTTTTCCTTCAAAATCTCGGCTCGGAGGCAGTGAATCTAGAGGACCGAGGCCGGTGGAAGAGAGCCAGCGGGACGAGCGAGCGGGCGGTCTCCCTCCTCGCCTCCCGGAGTTACTAAGAAGGACGGGAAGGGGATGGTTGAAGAGGCCAGGGCAAGGTGGAGGGACGGAGGGAAGCCGAGGCAGGAGCGAGGTTAGCAAGGAAGGCAGTTTGCAAGCTAGAAAAGAGGGGAAAACACAGCCGCACGAATCCAGCGAGATCACAAGCCGTACGCAAGCAGGCAGCAGAAAGAGCGAGAGCGAGGGCGAGAGCGCGAGCGCGCGTCCTCTCCGCGGTCTAGGGCCAGACAGCCCCGAGACTTGCCCCAAATACCCCCCAAACACTGTCTCGTCCTCTCTGCTCAGGCCGCCCCCTAACTGTCCTCCTTCCTCTCCTCCACCTCCTTTTAAAAAACCAAAACAACACAAGGGAGGGTGGCAAAAGCCTCCCCAAACCGGCCGATTCACTCAGACAACAAGAATCAAATAACAAATACATAAAAATCTATATCCTAGAGTGGGAGAGACATGGGACTAATCTTCGGCATTTATTTTAACACCTGACAGCTAGAATAAATAAATATATACATTTATATCAATAGATACACATAGGAAACTTGGAGCCAAAGCATTTGGCAAGAGCGGAAAAAAAAGAATTAAAAGGTAAAATAATGATCATGAGCAGCGGCGGCGGCAGCGGCACCAGCGGCAACAGCGGCGGCGGCGGCGGCAGCAGCAGCAGCGGCGGCAGCAACAGCAATAATCACCTGGTGTCCGGCCTTTCCTAGAAACTTCTTGCATCACCACTTCTAAGAACCCCAGTTCTAAGAATCAACAGAGCTCAATTCTCGGAATTTGAGCTTCGGACTTTACCACTGCTACATGGCAGGGGAGGACTCTATGTCAGCTCTGCGGGACTTTTGCCTCCCCTCGCCGGTACAAAGCATTCAAAGCATAATATTTTTCCACATATCGGCATATTTAGTGGTTCTACTAGGTTGGCCGTCTCGGATTTGGAGGTTCTGGTTCGAGGCTAGAGGGGGCGGACGGTGGACCTCCCTCCCTGGACTCAGGACGATGGTACAGCCTGCTCCGCCAGCGTCACGTGGTCGGCCCCTCTGTGACGTCGGCGTCTTCGCTGTAGCAAAGCTCGGCCTCTGGAATTCTGAGAACTAATTTGCTATTCGGTGACATAAGAGGGGGAGTGCGCTTTGCTTTCCTGGGGTCTGGGGCTAATTCCTCCTCTCTTACCCATAAACTCAGCTCCTGGAGCTAAATTACACGAAAGGGAGCGAGAGGTTCGAACCGTTGGGAAAAGTCTGTTATATATACTAGGTTTAGAAGCGAGTCAGAGAAAAAACAAACACCACAGCTCTTTGCAGCTAGAATAGTAGGCACCACGAGAAAAATATTTGCCAAGCAGTTTTCGGTGGGTTCATTTGCTTTATTTTTATTTGGGACAGTTTTTGTTTTCCTTGTCAATGTGATGGGTTGGGATTTTGGGTGGTTGTATTTTGATGGTTTTCGGATTTTTGCTTCTGATGTTTGCCTTTTGCAAGTTTGTGGTGTTACGTAAATCGTAGGATCCCGCAAAGGTTGGATTTGGGTGTCGTGTGTGTGTGTGTGTGTGTATGTGTGTGTGTGTGTGTGTGTGTGTTTCCCTAATCTCTCTAGCTTTTTAAAGAAGATGTGCTATTTTAATACTGATGCTATTACTGAAAGAAGCTGAAATTTTTGGTCGTATGCAAGCTACCCAACCCCCGCTTTTGGGGGGGCGGGGGGGGGGCGGGCGGTGCAGCAATTTTGTTTTTCCCCTTAAACTTTTACTGAGAGGAGGCTCCCCTGCACTTAAGTGGCTGTTCAGAGGATTTGTTTTGTTTGGGTTTGTTTCTCTCCAGGACAGCAAGTGGTGGGTTTACTCTTTCTGTTATTGTAGACTTAGGAAATTTCTTGCTGCAGAAACGTGTGTGTATTTAGGTATGTGTACGCATGTGTTCTACAGAATTCTGTGAGCCAAAAATACCTGTTTGTGTTTTGCTTTTTCCTAAAGTCTTGATTCCTCCCCACCTCCAACCCCACTCCTGTCTCCTTTCAAGGTCGTTGTCAAAAATCTCTTCTGTCTGTGTTCTAAGACATCAGCCGGAGGGAATTCTAAAGGCCTGCCATGCCAGAATCACAGATACTGCGTGTATTTAGAACAGACTGTGCTACAACCATAATGCGCTGCACGCAGCACAGTTCTCAGCTTTCAAGCTGAGTTGGGAGGAGGAGGAGAAAGGGGAAATCTTTCTTTCTTCCTTCCTTTCTTTTTTTTAAAGGCAAATGCAGTGCAGAATCATTTCACTGTGGGCCTTGGTTTGTTTATTCAGAACTGCCAGTTTCCCTATTTAAATGTTGGTTGGGGTTTTTTCCCCTCCTACTCATCCCTGAATGAGGGAGACTCTTGTTTCTTTAATGTCTCTCTCTTTTAAAAAAAAAGGGTGTGAGGGGAAAATAATATTTCGGATTCCTCAAGAATTAACCCAAAATGTTTGGACCAGAAGCAGATTTCAAAGGTCAGGCTGTTCTAAGCTTTGGCTATGAGATTCCTTCCGGCGACTCATTAAATTACAGATGAGTTCTTAAAGGTTTCACAAAATTTCTGCACATGTTAATTTCCAATAACGATATCATCCAAAATAATGTACCTCTCCATCCCTCAAATTTGGGTTTATAATGGAGACGTGAGCAGAGCTATGAAAGATTGCTGGCTGTTTCCTGGGATCTTTGGGATCTCTTTCCCAAAAGAAGTCTATAAGAAGTTCATATCTATTGCTGGCAATGCTGTGGTTGATGCAGCCCCCTTTTTAAAAGGCTGCATCGGGGGTTTTAGAACCAGGAGAGGTCCAAAGGAGGTGATTATTTTCTACACGGCCCGGAGCTTAGGAAATACGTAGGTCCGTCCCTGAGGAATCTGAATAGTTCAATACTTGTTTACAGCCTCTCAGAAAAGCATGTCATGTGACAAATTTTTTGAAAAATATACATAGGTCTAATCCTGTCACTGTTGTTGACATGAACATTTTACCCTTAAAGACACGTGATATTGTCAAGTCGCAGATTCATTCTGCTAGAGGCTTATGTTTGTTTTTTTTTAATCATATAATTTCCCCTCATTTTCAAAGAGTTTTAAATGAATCCCACTGGATTCAAAATGACAACTCGACTTTACTGAAGTGAGTTTCTTTGTGTATTTATATGTGTGATATTTTTTTCTTTTATGAGCAATAAGAACTTTAGGGTCTCTTGGGAGTATCTATATGGTTTGGAATGTGAATTGTATGAATCTGCCCTATTATTGGTGGTACAATGAGATTTTATGATTTTTGGATATTTTTCTTGTAAAAGTTGCCCTCTAGCCTCATTGGTCCCTCCCCCAACCCCACCTTAACACACTCAGCTTGTCCCTTCTGCATTCTCTTTGCTACTTCAATTTTTGCCCCATGGGGGCGCTGAAGAGCAAAGGGAAATCTGCTCCCTCTGGCAATAGAATTAACCCGAGTGGGGGCTGGGAAGGAATCCACCCTTCTTGTACCTCAGTCCTCTTTAATTCTCTGCAGGGAGCGCTAGGAGGGAGAACCCACCAGGCTTGATTTTGAGATGATTAACCCCATCACCAGGGACCTCAGACCTTCTCAGCATAATATTTCTGGGACCAGAGTCCTACCTTTTCTTTTCTTTTCTTTTCTTTCTATTTTCTCTCTTTCTTTTTCTTCTTCAATTTTTTTTTTTGCCAAATCAAACTGTTTATATTGAAAGAAATTCATTAACACAGACCATTACAAGAAAAAAAAATATTGAAAATATTCCGAAGGTAGAGATTTACTTTTAGGTAGGCCCCTTCCTCTCTATTGAATGAGTGGCAAGGAAAATTGTGCACCCACCTCTCAATCTCTTTTCAATTCCTAGGAATAAACTTTATCAAATTTTATACCAATTGAATTTCTTCCAGCATATTCTTCCTTCTCTCATTTTAATCACTCTCCGTTAGTAACCAGTTCGCATCGCTATGTAAATCTCCCTCACTACAGCAGTGCTACCATTATAGGATTAAAGGTAAGATTGACTTGAATATATTCAAATTCTTTTAAATCATCCTGAAGAAACTCTAAAGAGAAATTCCGTGTCTGGAGTCTTATGTGTGATTCCTGGAGATATGGAGGGGCTGTGTATCAACCAGTCCTATGATTTAATGACTCTACTGGCTATTAATACTCAGAATAGGGGACCAGCCCAGCCTTTGCTCAGTGGACTGGGCATAGTAATAGGTTCCTAATTGCAGCTGCTGGGTAAATATAAGCTTTGTTATAAAATAAAATATCTTGGTGCTAATGTTACAACTATTTAAGGAAAGGAACACATTTTGCATCCAGTTCCACTCCCGAAATCTTCCTCACAATTCAGTCATAGCTGAAAAGGAACCTATTGTTGGAATAAACACTGTCTGGTCTCATTCTAAGGGGGCTCCAAACAGAAATTGTTTTCCCCTGTCAGGAACTTCTGCTACCTGGGCAGATCTATAAACTATCACATTACAGAATTACAGACTTTGAAGCTGAAAGGAACCTTGCCCATCAATAACACAACTCCCCCAGGTTTCCTTCCACCAGGAGAAGCTGGCCCTCAACTGTAGACATGCGTGACCCCAGGAACACAGCTGAAAGGGGGTCTTTGTGGATTGATGGTTCTGTGTCATTTTAGAAAATCAGGGTGATATGACTATCTGGGTTTAGAGGAGGTTACCTTGTTTTCTGGCAGAATTGAGGGAAGCAAGGCTGCTTTGGGCTCTGTGTAAATTATAAACTGGTTCTCAGAATAAACTCCAAGTCATGATAAGTATTGACTTTTGATGGTCATTTGAATTTGGTTATGCTTGTCACCTGTAGTGCTGTGACACTATTTTTGATGGATATGGGAGATGTTATCTACCTGACATGAAAAATTTTACCTATTCATTTTATTTCAATTCCTTCATTTAGAGCTATTGCAAGCAAGCTCAGTATATTATCATTGGAGAGAAAAAAAGAGTTTTCTTGGTATTTTTCAGAGATATGAAGCAGAAAGTTTTGAGACATTAAAAAGAAGATGATTTCTAGCCACTACTTTCTGAAAAAGTGCCGACGTTTAATTTTGATCCATATGCTTCCTGCTTTCAGCCTGTATTATTCTAAGACTTGTTTTTTTCTTTTCAGCCTAGCTCAGAATTTTTCCCCCAAACACTGATTTTTCCACTTTCCCCACTTATATGAAATGGAAATAAATATCGGGAGCTTAAAATAGAGAATTGGGGGGAGGGGGGCATGTAATCATTTGTTTATTGCATTGGATCACTGTTTTGAATAGCAAGGTTTTCACTTCCTATGAAACCTTCGCATGAAGGAAAGCAGCAGCTGGACTCTGAGAGGGATGAGAGGAGGAAAGCACTTGAGTGTTTGTAAACTCAGGGTGGAGGGCCCACCCTTCTGCCCGCTGCTGTACTTAGCTGTCTTTACTACTTAAGGCTAGAAGTGGAAAAACTTGATTTGCATGTTGTGCCTGAATTTTTTTTTTCTTTCTTCTCCACACCGCCCTCTGTACACCTGACCATGCAGAAGCCTATCTGAAGCTGGCTTGATGGCAGGGAGAGCTGGAGAGCAGAAGAATGTGCAGAGGGAGGGAGTGCTTGGTACTTTTCCATTCACATCTCCACAGTGGCTTTTCTTGTTTATTTCAGCCTCCACCCGCAGGAACCTTTCTGCTGCTTGAAATTCGAGTCATTAAACTGTTCCCTGTGGTCAGACTACAGATGTTTGGTGCATGTTTCCTACATGTCGGTGTCTATGTAGCATATGTACCTATAGAGACACACACACAAACGTGTAACTCCACAGGGGCATAGTGTGAGGTTGGGGCGGGGGGAGACACTGGATAGGTTGCCAAAAAAGCCTTTGTTTCTAATTACAGTTCTGCCTGGAAGTCCTTATGGGACCTGGAGCAAAACCACTTGTCAAGACTCAGTTTCCTTGACTATGTGATGGAATAACCCAGATGATATGCATGATGTCTATTTGTTCAAAATTCTATACCCATGTATCTAAATGCATATTTACATAACTTTAAGGTGGGGAGGGAGAGATGGAAAGGAGCTTTGTGTACCTGGGATGGGGGAAAGGGTTAAAATTTAAACTTCTAAGTAAAGAAGGCAATCCCAGAATTCTCACCTCTATCAATTTTTAACCAGTTGTAGACCAAAGTCTGGGATTATGCTGAGTTGGGTCCAAAAGCCAACTGAAGATTTTAAATGTTAGGAGTTGGAAAAGGCAGTTTCTAAGACCTTGTACTTTTGATCTCCAGCATTCAGAATCAAATGTGACAATTCCCAAGTGTCTTTTCTGCCCTAGAATTCTTCTGTAGTTTTGTTTGTTTTTCGAAACTGTCCTAGTTAATGATAGAAAGGAGATGATACTTGTAAACTGGGCAGGCTTTAAGCCACAGAGCCCCATGTGGGTGTGAAAAATATGTCATAATGTGGAAAGAGAGAGAGAGAGAGAGAGAGAGAGAGAGAGAGAGAGAGAGAGAGAAACCTAGAGAGAGAGATTCCTAGTAAGAAACTTAGAGGTAACCCAGCCATCACTGCATTGAAGGTAATTATTTGAAGTCAGAGAAAATTACAGATGAGGAGTTTGCCTTTATAAAAAAAAAAAAAGCCTTGGTCTACCAGAAGAAACTTGAAGTTAATGAAAGAGATATTTTCCATCAAATTGATATTTCCTATATTTTAAAAAAAATTTTCCTATAATTTTTAAATCTTCATTCTTGAAAAAGAAAAGTCTAAAATTTTTCAAATCTGATCGTCTAGATAAAATAAGGTCTTTAACAGCAGTGACAGCCATACTACCACCATCTCTCCACTGGCTTAGACCTTCTGGAATATTATCGGTACCCCATGGACAAGGAGAGGTGGAGCCAGTTACATAATATACTAGAACTGGGAGGGTCCTTAGCAATTATCCAATCCAACACTACTGATTTTGTATAATTGGAAATTGAGGCCCAGGCAGAATGTTTTTGCCACACACACTGAATCACTGACAAAGCTGGATCCAGAATTTGGATGCTCTGGTTTAAATCTGGGCTATGGCTTTTCCATGGCTTATCATGGAAAGAGGATTTGGAGTGGGTAGCCTGAAAAATAGCCATTTTCTGTGGCCTTACATTCACAGAAGGCCTCACATTTGGACTTTTGACATGATCTCCCCAGAGTTTCTCCATCAGTCTTCCCATACATAGACAGATGGAAAGAAGATCATTTTACACGTGCTTTGTGTTGGGTCCCAGCGTAGGACTCAGTATATGATCCCCCACAGGCTCCTAAGGTACTGTGATTTAATATAGTTAATAAACCTATAGTTGTTTTATGAATGGTGCAATTGTATCATAGTTGGGTGCATGTTGAAGATAATAATTTTACGTTTAAAATATCATTTGGCCTAAAACAATGATGCTGCAGTAGCAGTGAGCACACCAAGCAGATCGTGACCTGATACATTCTCCAGTATTGGGAGGCAAGGCTTTTGAACAAATGGCTAATTCTAGTTCTAGGACTGGAGCAGGAAATACACAAAATTAGAATGGAACATCTTGTAGCACCATAGAGTAAGGAATTGTTAAAAACAAAAATTGTATCAATGAGGGATATTTCAAAGAGATCCTAAAGCCTCCTGAAGAGCTCCAATGGCCAAATCTGGAAAATTTTGAGCAATGAAATAGAGTAATATTGAATTACAACCCAAAGTATAAAATGAATATCCACGAATCCACACAGATATAAATAAATTATTGAATATATGAATAAATGGGAGAAAAGATATAAATCTCCCTTGCAGAAGAATTCCAAATAATTTATGAAGATACACTGCCCTCAAGGAGAGGATGTATAGCTCCCTACTTTTAAGTGTGAGCTGTGCATGGTGCCTTTCTTCCAAAGAGGACAGTATGGGAGGGAGGATGAGGGTGAGAGGAATTTTGTGTAGACAAACCTGCCAAACAGAGTACATCAAACAGGTCATCAAGGTCAACGTCAATAGTGATAAACCATGGTGATTGTATCTACCTTTGATATGAGGTGATGAAAATGGCTCTCTCCCTACATGACTCCTCAAAAGCGTCAAGGTCATAAAAAAGTAAGGAGAGTCTGAAGTAGTCAAGAATAGCCTGAGGAGGAGATACGACAACTTAATGTAATATAGTAATCCAGATGGGAGCATGGAATAGACATAAGGTAAACCTAAGCAAACCTGAATAAATGACAGACTTAATATGGTGTCAATATTATTTTGTTAATTGATACAACTGTTCCATCGTATTGTAAAATGTTAATAATAGGGAAAACTGGGCACATAGTTGTTCTCTGTACTATGTTCTCAATTTATATATATAGTTGGAGAGGGGAGTGGGGTATAGGGGCATATCTTTATTTTCCTTTTCAATACCAGAAATCTCCAAAAAGTGAGCCAGGCCTCTCTCAACATCTGAGAGGGCTTGCTTCCCATCCAACCATGCCCCCAAAATAGAATCAGGGAAATAAGGAAGCCTGCATTTATTCTTTTAGTTTACTAAATTGAAAGCGATTTAACTGTTTTCTGAATAAAGAACTAAGAGGAGAACACTAGGGAAGCACCAAAGGCCAAATATTGTCATGATGGTAGATGACTTGAGCCACCTTATAAATCCACTTATTCCAGGTTTCTTTGTGGAAACCTTCCATGGAAGCAAGGCCTAGAAAAATCTTTCCATCAGTCCATATAGGACAATAGAACTTGGGGATTCATCACTTA